AAGACAATTGTGTGGAATTTAATTGAAGAATTGAAGTGGCGAGCAAGACTACTCAGTTGTTCAGTTCTTTTTTGACTGAAGATGGACCATGTCATACGTGAAGCTATAATTATATGTAAATATATTTTTTCTATTGAAATTGCTTTGGAATTACAAAGAGCTACCCATACGATCTGTGTAATTGCTTTCATGTTTAGTTATTGATAATAATACTGCTGTTTAGAATATATATTCCCCTTCGCTGACTACCCAACTATGTAATTTAAACTTCAATATTATAAAGCAGAAATAGAAACAATTTTAGTTCCTTGTGAGTAGTAAAATTTTTGAATCCAATTTGTTTACCAATTAGAATGCCAGCTTTGTGTATACTTATATACGTATACTTCTATTAGGACCACCACCATCCAATTATCCAATTATATGTCTTTCTTATTGTTGCTGTTGTTGTTGTTTTCTTTCATTAATAAATCGCAACTGAAAATTCCCAAAAGAAATTCTTGTTGATTTTTTTTCCCTCTTTTAATTTTCGTTTCGAAACATATTTCTGTGTCAGACGAAATGAGGACGAAAACTGAGGACTGCCTTGCCTTGCTTTGGAAACGCTGATGATAACAATGATAATGACGATGATGTTAATGATGATGATGATGATGACGGGAATAATGTTGAAAATGATAACGGCAATAATGATGTTTGAGCTGATGTTGGTAAAATGTAGCTTTGCTTAATTACTGCAGTTTATTTTCTAAGTGAGACTAATTAACAGACAATTCGTCGTCAACGTAATGCGGGAATGGAAAAGTTTGGAGTGATGGCAAAAAGAAGAAAAGCACTGTAAAAAATTCTCTAAGTTTTTTTGCAACTGTAATGTTTTTTTTGTTTTAATAGCAACGTCAGCAAATCTTTTTTTATTTTTGTTAAGTACGTCAATCTTTTTTTTTATTTTTGTTACGTACGTAAATTAAAAACTAACTAAATTTTTTCAGTTTTGCATATTAAACAACGCGAGGAGAAATTGTATTGCATTTTGATTTTTTATATTTTAAAATTATTTAAAATTTTGCTCACGTACCTTTTTTATTTTGTAGTTTTTTTGTGCTTTGATTTAAATTTCAGCAATTTTTTCGTATTTTCCATTTTATTTTTAGTTTTAAAATTGTAGTTCAGTGATATATTTTTCATCGCATTTGTAGGGGGATGTAGCTCAGATGGTAGAGCGCTCGCTTAGCATGTGAGAGGTACGGGGATCGATGCCCCGCATCTCCAAATCATTTTTAAATATAGTTTATATTTGTAATTTAAATTTTTTTATAAATTATAT